AGAATAGTCATGACCGGCCAAGAGGCGATTTAGAGTGCGAGTTTCAAAATTATTGAGCTGTGTTTTGTAATACCAGGGCTTAACCGGAATCGTATTCTGGAACTGAAAATATTTACAGCCTTTTCCGCTTACTGCTGCATATTCAAGGTACCACTGTTGAGCATCGTTATCCTCCAAGCGATGGAAATAGTTTTCAACGTCATGATTAAACATTTTGTTGTTGCAGATATTATGCTGTTCTGGTTGCTCCAAAGCTGCTTTTGCTAACTGGTCCGCAATCTCATTCCCATGAGTTCCAGCATGTCCGGGAATCCACTGCAAACTGGTGTGTGTTTCAGCTGCCATTGTTAGTAGTTTCTCGACGATCTCATCCCGAAAACGATTCTCAATGTTCAGCTTGATGAATTCCAAGCCCGATTTTGAATCGGTCATGATAACTGCATTTGAAAGTCCAGAGCGTTGAATAAATTGAAGAGCAACATAAACGGCCTCCAGCTCAGCAGACATGATGCAAACATAATTCTCCAATTGCAAACTAAGTTTGAAATTTGATGACTCATGGAAAACTCCGATTCCGCAGGATTGCTGATCTCTGGACGCGTCCGTATAGATGATATGTTGTCCTTTATATTTACCATGAATTAATGAGAGAGTTAATTGTTTCAAAATTCTATCGCTAGTCGTTTTCTTTCTCCAAAGGCCATCCGGTAAATCAGTCTCAATCTGGACTTCTTCCCATTGACGTTTACCTACGAATGAAGAAGACATCACTTGGAAAATCGGTGAATGATTTAGTGCCACCTGTTCAATGAAGGTGCAACGACTTCTGTCCTGTTCAATTGACATAGCATCAAGTTGATCTTTAACTACCGAGTCTCGATAATAGTGTTTAGCTAATTGTTTCCCAGCACTGCATATACGTCGAAATTCAGGTGGAAATTGACCAGCGATCGCATAGAGTGTATTAATCGGTGTTGTTTTTGTGCATCCGGTAACTTTCCGGAGACATTGATTATTTAGCACATCTAGTTTTGCTAGGTTGGTTTTACAGGCAGAACCATACAAAGTTGAACCGTAATCTATACAACTTCTGAAAAGTGCGTTGTAGACCATGCCAAGTGTCTGTGGGTGTGCACCATATTTAATGCCACTGATCACCTTGATCATATTCTGTCTCTCAGTTAATCTTCGGGTAAGATCTCTGATATGTGCACCATACCGGAGTGATCTATCCAAAAGAATTCCTAGGTAATTATAAGTACGGACGGTTTCAAGCTTGGAATCTCCAATACAAATGTTTAAGTCTTTCGAGCTATTAACAAAAAGCATTGCCTTAGTTTTCTGTGCATTTATTGACAGATTTAATTCATCGGCTTTGCATTTAAATAGTTTAAGGAACTTTGTCCCTCTAGTATTTATTTCATCTTTACTTCTTCCTTCGATGATAACAGCAAAATCATCAGCGTATTGTACTAGTACCACTCCTTCTACATGAATACCATGCAAAGCAGTTGTATATATGTTGAAAAGAGTAGGCGAGCAAACATCACCTTGCGGAAGTCCCTGTGTGACGAATCGAGTAATCGTTTTATCTGCAACCTGAATTTGAATTTTCCTGTTTGTTAAAAAGGAAATAAACCAACTAGACAATTCAGGAGGTATATCCAGATTTAGGAGAGTTTCTTCAAGTTTATCTGCTCTCACAGTATTAAAGGCATTTGAAAGGTCAACGAAAACGATAGCAGCAATTCTATTCTGCCTCTTAATTTGAAAAATCCTATTCGTAACGAATTCAAGACATGTGATCGTGGACATTCGTTTTCTGAATCCGAAAGATAAATCAGGAAGTATATCTTTATCAACCAGAACATCTTCAAGTCTTTCTAGGACTGCAGCATTTAATAGTTTGAGACCACAATTCACCAATGAAATCGGCCGTGTGCCCTCAACAGTTTCTGGATTTTTACCTTGTTTAGGAATGGCAATAACCTTAATCGTTTTCAAATCGGTAGGAATTCTGTTGGTTTTCCAGATTAAATTCAGGTCTCGAATTATGTTATCTCTAACTGTTGGCTGTAATATATCCAACATTTGATAGGAGATCCCGTCGGATCCAGGGGCTGATAGATTTATTTTGCCTTTGACCTTTTTGGCAATTTGTTTATACCAAAAATCTACGGAAAGGATATCATACTTCGAAGTGCGTGAGGGTGTGTCATCTTGGTATGGTTCCAAAGGAAAGTGTTTATTGAGGAAATCATTTGCCAAGCTTTCGTCTTCGTGAACCAAAACGTTTCCTGGTTTCTTTTTTCCTCCAGTCAGCCTTCTTATCTTATCCCAAACGGCGGATGTAGAAGTTTGAGGATTAATACTAGCCACAAAATCCTGGAATCTTGCCCTTGAAGAATCCTGCTTTTTGCGATTAAAAATTGCCTCCTTCTTCTTAAAGTCCAGAAGTTCCATGATACCTCCTGTTTTGTTGAATAAGGCTCGAGCTGCCCTTTTTTCCTCCCAAGCCAGTTCCACCTCTTCAGACCACCAGAACTTGGGCGAATGTTTGTTTTTTTGTTTAGCACCTTTGAGAATGTTTTTAGTCTCATTTTGGAGTTCGGCCATGGTAATGACACTGTTACCCTCAATATTCCTAATACCTTCGAAAACCTGCTTCTTATTGATAAAATATTGTGGTTTCCGACACTTGATGAGCTGAACAACTGTTTCCAGTGCAAGATGATGACTGCCAATTCCGTATTCTAGGATATTCGTAGCTGTATCGAGAAGCAATGAGGGTGATACAATAACTAGATCAATTGCCGAAGGATTTTTATTTATGTCCACCGGAAAATATGTTGGTTGACCATCATTCATAAGAACAAGATGTTCTTCATTTATCAAGTTGAATAGTACAACTCCTTTCCCATCCGAATGAAGATGATCCCAGGAGAAGTGGTGAGCATTGAAGTCACCTCCAATTATTACCTTTCTGAACTTGGCGATTTCTTTGAAAATCTCCTTAAGCCCATTTTCAAAATCAGTAACGGTTATACATGGAGCTATGTACAGAGATACCACCAAAATATCAGCAGAAAAAATGTGTCGTCCAACTGCCTGAATTTTTGGGAAATCAGGAAGCTGTACTTCTCTAGACCTATACTTTTTGTTAATCAGAACTCCTGCACCTCCATAACCATCGCTTCTTGATTTAAGGAAATTGAAAAACCCTGGTATTTTATACTTCGTTTGCTCAGATTCTACTTTGCTCCAACACTCAGAAATAAGGGCTATATTATAGTCCTCTTTTATCAACACTCGTGAAAGCTCTTCCTTATGTTTTTCTAGGCTTTGTATGTTTATTTGGAAATTTTTTAATTCTGTCATTATTACTTACGGTTTACATCATTCTTTAATATGATGCAATTAATCGTCTCTAAGTCTGCTTCTACTCCTTGATCGAATCGTGCTTGTTGCATTTGTGCTGTGGTTTGGGACCATGGTACTCATGGGTTTGGCCGTGCCATCCACTTCATTTTCGCTTCTATTTGTTCCAGTACTCAGCTGCGTTAGGATTTCCGTTGATCTTGCTTCCTCAATTTTCTGTGCCCATCGCTCATAATCCATAACACGGAATTTGTTGAACAACGCAATTCCATTGTTGCTCGGCTCTCCAGATGATTCTTCTTCTTGTCCGCAAAAACTTGTATCTGGTCCGCAATGATCACATCCTCTTCTACCTGTCGCTTAGATCTTTGAGGTTTATACTTGTATCCAGGTTTCGCCTTGAATTCTCCTGCAGCCATGTTCGAATATGTTTGGGGTAGAGATGGAAACTCCTCTTCATTCGCAAGAACGTCGTACCTGTTTTGAGTGAATATTGGATTTTGTTCCTTCGCTTCCATGTAGGTTAGAGTTGTCCTTGCCATGATGGTCTTGATATTCCGTTGCCGGGTTCTTTCAGGACAGTCCATATCCGAGGTGCGGTGATCGATCTTACAGTAGAAGCACTTTTTGGGATTTTGACATTCTCCTGACTCCATTTCGTCATGCATAGCCGAACAATTGGAGCAACGTTTCCTCGATCTGCAATTCTCCGTAGCATGGTTGTATCTCAAACATTTGAGACATAGAACCGGCCGATTCACGAAAGGACGAACTGAGTTGATGCAGCAGAAGAGACGAACTTCCTTCGGCAGCATACTGGCACGAAAAGTGATTCCAATCCGACTCGTTGGAATTTTGACACCTCCTTCAAAACGGTGAAGTCTGTTGATGTTGATGATCGGGCAGGCGCACATGATGTTTGCTTGGATTTCTTCGATCGTCATATCCACTGGAACACCAGCTACCACACCAGATACGGAAACAAAGCTACGAGGAATGTAGGCTTTGTAGTTGTTCACCTTCAACTGAGTATCCTTCTGTAGTTGGTTTGCTGCCTGTAGAGTTTCCATGAACACCATGACCTTGAACTTTCCGAGTGCACGGATGTTGGAGATATTCTTCTTATATAAATCCGACTTCGTCATCAGCTTGCCAAAAGTTAGTTTGTTCAACTGGATCGTTCCCTTCCTGTCGTCTATCAACTGTACGATGACTCGGTATGGTGCAGGATCGGACTTGTCATACTCGTACACTTGGTACGTTCTCGCCGCCTTGTCCGGCGGAACCGCCATTTTGTAGCCTGACTACCACTCCACTAATTTGATATTTGTAACTATTTACTTGATAAAATTAAGGAATTTGATAATCTACAGCTACTTATCAACCACAGTAAATCGATCAACAAGAATTAGTGGTTTATTGTTTAGGAAAACACTCGAAAAAAGGATTAAAACTTCGCAGTGAAATAAAAAGTATGGCGACACGTGCGAAATATTTCACCAAGATCGTACATGACTCTCACCTAAGTAAAATTTAGAATGACGTCACCTGGTCCAACTCATACAACTTACGTGATTACGCAATAAATTGTTATAACTTTCTTTATTCTCTTCCTCCCACAGCGAGCTATTCACCTACCTCAACCAACACGCCCTGGACGATGGCAAGTTTGCCATCAACATGGCATCCATCTTCGCCTCCCGCCAGCTGGACGACCTAGTGATAAAGGAAACCAAACTGCGTAACGCGATGCTCACTATCCTGCAGGAGAACTTCCGAGCCATCGAAGGACTGAAGCGGGAAGGCGTATCCAGATTTTACAACTCGGTGACACTGCTGGGAGAGTACTACAATAAAAAGCGATTCGTCAATGGAAAGCGGATACTGATCTTGGGGCAGAGTTTGCTTCTCCTGCTGACAACGGAGCTGGAAAAGGAGATCGAAAAGTGCGAAGAAACCAGCGCGCATACGATCGATCCGGACTTTGCTAAACTGATACTGTCCCAGGTAACGCTGAACGGGGGCGAAGCCAAGATGGAACACAGACAGGAGATTGATGATCTCAACTATTCGATACGAAAATGCCTGATCAATGTGTCCACAATGCTGCCGAAGACCAAAGCTTATCTGTTGATGTCGTTGGATTTGTTTTATACCAATTTCAATCTCAGTTCAACATTGTTGGAGAAACTTTACGGAAAATATTTGTTTGAACCGGATGAGGACACATCCACGAAGCAGCCTGCTGACCCGAACAACGAAGTTGAAAAGAAGGAAGAGAGTTCTGTTTCGAACCAATCTGCGCCGCCCAAGTCCAACTCGAACGAAAGCAGTTCGGCAACTACCCCGAAGAAAACCCCCGAAAAGACTGACAATGTGAAAAAGCAAGGTGGTAGAGCTGCTGGATCGTCAGTCAAGCCGAGAAAGAAAGAAGTTAGGGCTGATACAGCCAGTAGTCCGGCTGCAAAGTCACCAATCACATCACCCAAAAAGCCTGCCATTAATGTCACCCGGAAACCTGCCGTTTTGAATCACACGTCTCCCAGGAAAGACCAACGACCAAAACCAGCTCCTTCGCAGAAAACCCCACCGCAACGGAGAAATCTATCGGAAAGACTCAAACCCGTCACACCGGACCAAACAACACCGAAAAATCAAAGCAACGGTCCAAAAGCGGCCAAAACACCGGAGAATTCTTCGGTGCTGAAGCAAAACTGCAAACCGTCCCCGAAAAATTCCGTAAGTCCTGGCCAGAGCTCCAATTCCCCTGGCAGTGCCACCAACATAAAGCTATCGATGCCGAACCCGGTCAGTCACGAAGACAACGTGGAAAATCTCGCCTGGGATGATCTCACCCTGGAGGACGAATCACCGCAGAAGCTCCATCCTCACACCAAGTCGTTCCTGACGTTCCTGGCGCAGAAATGATCGGCATCGGCGGCGACTACTATGAGTGGACGAACATTTTGTGCCTTCATGTGCATTTTAGAACTTTTGTCTGTGTTAAATGTCAGCTTGTGATATTGCACTTTTGTACGGATAAGAATTTTATTGTAGAAAAAAAAAAAAACAGTAGGAATGAAGGAGAGGTGTCCGTTGAGGGCTTTCTTTCCGGAAATTAGCAGATAAGATAAGCGGCATGTAGTAGTTCTTTTCAATGATAGTTTTAGAATTTTTCATATTTTTTTTAATGTCTGTCAGTTTAAAATTGAATACATCCGTTCAATTTAAAATTGAAATGTGTTTTTGCTGCATTTGTCTCTTAATACTTAAACAATACTTAAAACCTATCAATTGTATAAGTGTATATTAGGATAGGTACTACAATTCGAAACTAATTAGGGAGATGTAGACTCAGGATCGCAGATTGAAGAGAAAAAAAAAGCGAACGCGCGAATCTAGCGATTTTTATACACAGATTTTTTAGTAAATGGTTGCTTCTTTCGTGGTAAGGGTAAAATGACAGTTCTTAGCACAACACCCGAATAGACGCAATGTACAACGGACATATCATTCGCATGTAAGGAACTACGATTGCAGGCGAATAAAAGTTTTGAAGAAAAACAGAACGCCGGTTGTTTTGACTGAGAATCCGAAAGCCGGGAACCGCTAGATGAAGGCATTTACTATCAACCTACTGGATCTGCGAGCCCCTTCTTTGAACGGTACCGTTTCTGTATCGCGTAATGTATTGATAATGAGTTGATAATAATTGTGATTTTTTTTTCATGGAAGCCATCAACATGGAAATTAATGTGCAGTACTGCATACCTAGTTGTCTAGTTCGCCTACGAAAGATTGGTCCAGGGTAGTAAATATTGGTCAGGCTTTTAAAGAATTCAAAAAGGGTTTAATTCGACAGCTTTTACAAGAGTCTCATAGAGTTTCGTAAACTTAAACTGAGAGTTCAAGATTTTTAATGCTAAAACCAAGTTTTTTTTTTAGTACTATCTGATGGTCTAGAAATCTCTCCTGAACGTTCTTTTCAATTATTGAAGGTTGTTACTCTGCTACTTTGCTTTTGTAACAATTGCCCGACGCAGGAAAATCAGTAAGATGAGTGGAAAGAAGAAAGCACTTGATGTGGGAAGATCATGGAAAAGAACAAGGCATCTAAGTCTGATCTCCAGGAATGCTTGTCGAACGCTTTGGTGCCTGTACAGATCCCGAAAATTGTTGAGTCAGATGACCAATATCTCTCAGTTCCGCCATCAGAAAGCGTATCTTTCTACTTGGAAGACGACTCGAGTCCATCACCCAAATCTCAGTCAAACAAAGCTCTGGATCGAGAAGCCGAGGAGTACTACCAACTACTCGAAGGAAAAAGCTCCCCGAAAACTGAGAAAATGTCAGCTTTGGCCTACATCTCTCGACTGTGTGAATTAGGCTTGCGACACAGAGATCCCAAAGAAACTTTGGTATAAAGCGAAGTGGAGCCAGTGCTAAAGCACTTGCTTAGTGCACATTCATACAAAACCGCCTCTACTGCCTGGAACTGTGGGTATTCTATATACCGCCATTATTTCGCTAGAGAAAGGAATGAATCTTTCCAACACCGAAAGGGTTGAGAGTGCTGTTAAGAAGATTTCACTTCTTGTAAATTACGCAGCAAAAGGAATTAATGAGGCTCAAAAACAACTCCAGACAATGCTGATGCAGTTCAGTGATCTGTTGCTCAGAATCCGACTCGAAGGACCAAAATGTTCTTCTGATACTCACTGGAGAAAGGCAAATGGACTGTAACTTATTCTTTATTTTTATTGAAATGAAAACACATCTTCACCGCGCTAGTACTACTACTTTAATCATTTTTCTCTTCCTAGTCTCCTCTCTGTTTCCGCTCTTGAAGGTCAAACTCTCCACAACTCCTAACAATTACCGTCTACACTGAAACAATACATTTGTCGTTTCTTTTAGTGTAACAAAGGTGATCTTAGAAGAAAATGAGATAATCAGGCCTATTAAGCGAGTCGTGTGATTCTCTGTCACTAGTGAGTTGATAAAAGTCACGTCGTGTGAGGTGACTCCCCATTTGATTTGCATGGGGGGTCACCACACACAAAATGACTTTTGTCGACTGAATGAGTTTGAAATTTGAAATTTGAATGAAAATAAATTATAGTTTGACCCCTTGGATAATTTACCCGGGAACATTTTGTCCTACCCCATCAAGTGTATATCCAAGGAGTCGAGAGTTTTGAGAGTTACTTCTTCGTATAGTAAATTTGTGAACCCCGAGCCTTAAACTTTTATCTAACTATGCAATTTTCCAATGAACATTTCTCTGGACGACAAAAGCCTTTTAAACGGGGCCACCCCATTTGGCTCAAGATCGTACCCGGTTGTTGAATCTCACTCAAATATGAGTTTAGTAAGTCTCAAATTGATTTCCCTGATTCCGTATTCAACCAGATTTTCGAGGAAAATTTGACTGTGGTTTTTGCGAATTTGAGTAAATGGAATTCAAATTTGAGTGAGATTAAATGGCGAGGCTTGGTAGCTCAGTTTTTACCGTTTCTGCTTACTGTGCAGAAGGTCAATTTCTGGCCCGTCCTCTTCCTTGCAATTTGTCCTTTTGCCTTATTCTATCCCCACTAGATTTTAAATGAAAACGAATTCTGCTTTAACAAAACCGACCGCATCACTTACCACAGTGAATCCTGGTCTAAAAATAACCCACCTCACTAACACAACTACATCCTCCCTGTGAAAACCGTGGAGATGCAGAGGTGTGTTCGGTCTCAAGTAACAACGGACGTCGAACTAATCATCCTTCCCTCCCCAAAGACCGCGAGGACGTGTCCGGTGCTGTGATTGATCTATAAATAAATTGAATTAGTGTACCTGGTACAATTGAAGATAGAAAGCTAATCCCATGCAACATCTACGTGGTTCTCTGTGCAAGTGCATTTTAATTTAGTTCTGATCAATCTCGGAGGAGCAACTACGAAATGCACGGTCTTTAAAAAAAAACACAGAAGAAACATTGAACCACAAAGCAATTTGGCATAACAGTCGTCCCATAAAAGGGTCAACAGAACCAGAATATTCACCCATTCAAGATTCAATCTTAAAAGCAGGCTAAACCAAGAATAGAACGTTCTAGCCCAAAATATTGTTTTTTTTTTTTGTTTTGCTTATGCCAAACGGCCTTTTGAGATATTACTTAAAACCAACTGAGCTTCTCCGGTTTCGAACTTCTTATTTTCATACAGGTTAGACTCGATTATCGATAACTGACTTGCCACTTCTATCGTCGATTTCACGGAAAAAACAACTCAGTTCGGCCTATATTGAAACCTTCTTAATTTTCTTTGGCTATTACATCTGCTTTGCAACTGCCCTTAACTTAATACTACAACCTATTGGTTTCCAGAAATAAATCATAACATATTTTGTCTGAACATTCTGGGAAATTGAGGGATCCTCGAAGGAAAGGTAAAGGACATTTTTGGGCAGCTTACATAGATTATCGTTTTAGGGAAAATCTTTGATGACTTGATCGGAACGATTGAAGAAGTTTTGTCATGAAATTATCAACCAAATATTTAAATTTCCTTTGCAGTAAATATTTAAAGTAACATTGCAAGTTTTATGGAGGTTTTAAAGCATGCTACAAGTCTAAATCATGGTCTACAGAACCCTTATGAAACCGAAATTGATACTTGTGATGCGTCATAAAAACAGTAGGTGCTTTAAAAAAATGCAAAAGTAATCATGAACCAGAAGTTCATGAAACTTTTTCATAAGTTTTTTTAACTTTTTCACAAATTCTTTGAACTTTTCCAGAAGATCTCTGATTTTTTTTCAAAAGCTCTTTGAGCTTTTCCCGAAGATCTCTGTTTTTTTTCAAAAGCTCTTTGCATGTTTTAAGTGGTTCTATGAACTTCTCAAAGATCTCAAAATTGTCCTAAAAGTTCATTAAATCAAAAACTTATCTGTATGTTTCGAAGTTCTCTGAACAGATTCAGAATTTCTTTGACCTTTTCCAAACGATTTCTGAAACTGTTAAAAATCTCTTCGAACATTTTCAGAGGTTCTGAGAACTTTACGAACTGCTCTACACAGATTCAGAAGACCTCTGAACTTTGATCAGAAGTTTTCTGGATTGTACCCAAAGCACTCTGAAGTTTGAAAAAGTCCTAGTAATTGTTTCAGAAGTTCTTAAAACTTTTTCTGAACAATCTAGTGAAATTAGGAGAATTTCTGAGATAAATTTAGGGAATTTCTGAGTGAAGCATAAGGAATTTCTGGAAGAAGCTCAGGACATTTCTCAACGAAGTTCATGGAACTTCCGAGAGATGTTCAGCTTTCAAGGAAAGTTAATGCAATTACCTAAAGAAGTTCGTTGAACATACGAAGAGTTCAGATAATTTACAGGGAAGTTACGAGAAGTTTATGTATCTTCCCAGAGAAGTTTGGTGAAAGGGAGATTCCTAGGGAAGTTTAGGGAACATCCTAAAGAAATTCAGGGAGCTTCCTAGAGATGTTTAAGAAAATTCCTTGAGAATTTCAGGGAGCTACCGGAAAGTTCAGGAAAATTCCCATAGAAGCTCAGGGAGTTTCTCAGAGAAATTCAAGGAACTTCGTAGAGACGTTCACGCAACTTCACAAGTTCAGGAAAATTCCTTGAGAAGTTCAAGGAACTTACGAGATAAGTTTAAGCTTCTTCTTAGAAAAGATCAGAAAATTTCCTAGAGGGAACTTTCAAGAAAAGTTCAACGGAAAGAAGTTCAGATTGTATCCTAGAGAAGTTCAGGAAACATCCTAGCGACGTACAGGAAAAATTCCTTCAGAAGTTCAGGTAAATACCCACAGAAGTTCTGAAAAATTCCAATAGAAGCTAAGAGAGTTTCTCAGATATGTTCTCTAAGAAAAGATCGCACTTTCTAAGTTCAAGAAAATTCCTTGAGAATTTCAGGGAACTATCGACAGAAGTTCAGTAAAATTCCCATAGAAGCTACGGGAGTTTCTCAGAGAAGTTCAATGAACTTCTTAAAGACGTTCACGGAACTTCCTAAGTTCAGGAAAAATCCTTGAGAAGTTCAGGGAACTACCTATAGAAGTTTAAGAAAATTCCCATAGAAGCTCAAGGGAGTTTCTCAGAGAAATTCAAGGAACTTCTTAGAGACGTTCACGCAACTTCACAAGTTCAGGAAAAATCCTTGAGAAGTTCAAGGAACTTCCGAAATAAGTTTAAGATTCTTCATAGAAAAGATCAGGAAATTTCCTAGATGGAACTTTCAAGGAAAGTTCAACGGAAAGAAGTTCAGAATGTATCCTGAAGAAGTGCAGGCAACATTTTAGAGAAGTTCATGGAACATCCTAGAGACGGACAGGAAAAATTTCTTCAGAAGTTCAGGGAACTACCGACAGAAGTTCTGGAAAATTCCAATAGAAGCTAAGGGAGTTTCTCAGAGAAATTCAAGGAACTTCTTAGAGACGTTCACGCAACTTCCTAAGTTCAGGAAAATTCCTTGAGAACTTCAGGGAACTATCGACAGAAGTTCAGTAAAATTCCCATAGAAGCTAAGGGAGTTTCTCAGAGAAGTTCAATGAACTTCTTAAAGACGTTCACGGAACTTCCTAAGTTCAGGAAAAATCCTTGAGAAGTTCAGGGAACTACCTATAGAAGTTTAAGAAAATTCCCATAGAAGCTCAAGGGAGTTTCTCAGAGAAATTCAAGGAACTTCTTAGAGACGTTCACGCAACTTCACAAGTTCAGGAAAATTCCTTGAGAAGTTCAGGGAACTTCCGAGATAACTTTAATATTCTTCCTAGAAAAGATCAGGAAATTTCCTAGAGGGAACTTTCAAGTTAAAGTTCAACGGGAAGAAGTTCAGATTGTATCCGAGAAAAGGTCAGGGTACTTCCTAGAGAAGTTCAGGGAAGATCCTAGAGACGTACAGGAAATATTCCTTCAGAAGTTCAGCAAAATTCCCATTGAAGCTAAGGGAGTTTCTCAGATAAGTTCAAGGAACTTCTTAGAGACGTTCATGAAACTTCCTAAGTTTAGGAAAAATCCTTGAGAATTTCAGGGAGCTACCGGAAAGTTCAGGAAAATTCCCATAGAAGCTCAGAGAGTTTCTCAGATAAATTCAAGGAACTTCTTAGAGACGTTCACGCAACTTCACAAGTTCAGGAAAATTCCTTGAGAAGTTCAAGGAACTTACGAGATAAGTTTAAGCTTCTTCTTAGAAAAGATCAGGAAATTTCCTAGAGGGAACTTTCAAGGAAAGTTCAACGGAAAGAAGTTCAGATTGTATCCTAGAGAAGTTCAGGCAACATCCTAGAGACGGACAGGAAAAATTCCTTCAGAAGTTCAGGGAACTACCGACAGAAGTTCTGGAAAATTCCAATAGAAGCTAAGGGAGTTTCTCAGAGATGATCAAGGAACTTTTTAGAGACGTTCACACTTTCTAAGTTCAGGAAAATTCCTTGAGAATTTCAGGGAACTATCGACATAAGTTTAGCTAAATTATCATGGAAGCTAAGGGAGTTTCTCAGAGAAGTTCAAGGAACTTCTTAGAGACGTTCGCACTTTCTAAGTTCAGGAAAATTCCTTGAGAATTTCAGGGAACTATCGACAGAAGTTCAGCAAAATTCCCATAGAAACTCAGGGAGTTTCTCAGAGAAATTCAAGGAACTTCTTAGAGACGTTCACGCAACTTCACAAGTTCAGGAAAATTCCTTGAGAAGCTCAGGGAACTTCCGAGATAACTTTAATATTCTTCCTAGAAAAGATCAGGAAATTTCCTAGAGGGAACTTTCAAGTTAAAGTTCAACGGGAAGAAGTTCAGATTGTATCCGAAAAAAGGTCAGGGTACTTCCTAGAGAAGTTCAGGGAACATCTTAGAGACGTACAGTAAAAATTCCCATAGAAGCTCAGGGAGTTTCTCAGAGAAGTTCAAGGAACTTCTTAGAGACGTTTAAGGAACCTTCAAAGTTCAGGAAAATTCTTTGAGAAGTTCACGGAACTTCCAAGATAAGTTCAAGGATCTTCCTAGTAAAGTTCAAGAAATTTCCTAGAGGGAACTTCAAAGAACAGTTCTGCGGAAAGAAGTTCAGATTGTATTCGAGAAAAGTTCAAAGAATTTCAAAGATAAGTTCAGAGATCTTCCAAGAAAAGTTCAGAGACCTATCTATAAAAGTTCAGGGAATTTTCAAGAAAACTTTAAACGATTTTGGATCTTTCAAAAAAAAAAGTTCAGGGAATATTCGAGAGAAGTTCAGAGAATATACGAGAGAAGCTGTTCAGAGATCTTTCAAGAGATGTTCAGGCAACTTTTAAAAGGAGTTCAGGCAATTTCCGAGATAAGTTCAAGACCAACAATTGAGAAGGCTTCAATTCCATTTTGTCGCGAACCGAAGTCCACCAACGCAAACCAACAACAGGTAGGGGAAATTTTGCTCTACCCGATTGTGTTTTAGATTTGCGAATGTAGGTTTAGGTTCGCGAGAAAATGACCTTACAAGTTTTGTTTACAAAATGGAGTTGAGGCGTTTTCAAAAAATTCAGGTTACTCTCGAGATTTGTTCAGTGAACTTCTACGAGTAGTTTAGGAATTTTCCAAGAGAAGTTCAAGAGATTTTTTAAACGTTCTGTGAAGGAACTACAGGGTGCTTTAAGAAGTATAAGAGAATTTTAGAGAAATATTGAAGATTTCACGGACCTTAGGAACATTTCAGAAAATCTATCAGCCTTACAATATGTTAAAATAATTATCAACAAGAAAAATGTCATCAAGATTGCCTTGTGACATGTAGGAACTTCCTTGCCTGAACAGTGGTTTAGAAAATTTCGTCTTACGTGGTTATTCGGAACAGTGTTAAGAATTCCTGAATTTGTAATACTTCCCAACAAACAATCGTCTATTGAAGAAACGACTTCTTGGCCATTTTATTCAACTGCATGCTTAATAGTACTTGTACTATTTTTAATAATAACTTCTGTTCAGGCTTTGTTCACACAAATCTGGAGAATTTATTCAACCACAATATTGAACTACTGGTGTTGTATAAGGTATGTCGAGAAGTTTTTATTCGACTTATATGAGTTGTAACAGAGTTAATACGATACAATTTTTGATTATTCAGCGTTTATTAGACATCACTGCTTCCCTTAAAACAGTGATGCTCTGTATACGCTTGATTCTCATGTGAAGTTACGTTTAATTAGACATTATTATACATTTATTAAACGATTATTCAACGTGGGAAAATTAATCCGAAAATAAGAGGACAGGGGGACAGGGACAAGGGAAGGGTGTGTGTGTTTCTTAAGTGTATTGTATTTCAATATTGCTGACCTGGCTTGCACCACACAGATATTAGAAAATTTATTAAATACTTATACATGCCGTTGTTGTATGGGAATCGAACCATGTACCTTCCGATCACCAGCCGCTTGCCTTGTCATTTGAGCTATCCTAGAATTCATCATATGGGTAACTCAATAATCAATAAAAGCTTGCTTGAAAGTAAATACCTATCAGCACTCCCGATCGCAACTCTAGCTCCTTCAAGGCCCTGTGGGAATGATTAATTCATTCATCGTTGTTTTAAATTTGACCAATGTTGCTTCTTCACCTCTCCAAGTCGAAAGAAAGGATGTTCAGTTATATTTTAAACTAGATCAATGCATTCATTATCGTGAGTCATGTGATCGATGATTACTATTTAAATTAATTATGTTCTACACAAATAAAAAAAAGGTTGAGCCTGGGATTGAACTCATGACCTTCTAATTGGAAAGCGGAAACGGTAACCACTACTCTACTGATTTCGCCTTGTTGTAAGACTGAATCAGTATTGTCGAATAATGAATCTAATACGTCGTTTATAAAGCATTTACAAATCATGTGATTACAACATAGAAGCATAGTGGTATAAGAGCTATTATGCTGACTGTATTCACCTTTATTCAGCAATATTGTAAAGTAATGCAATGAAATCTAATAAAGGAGCTGGAGAACATTTATTAGACGTTTAATAAAGCATGTTATTAAATCAATTGAAAACAGTCGAAGTAAAGTGTCAATGTATGTTCAAATTACACTTATTCAGTTTGCTATTAGATCGAACTTCTGGCGTTGAATTGGGAAGACATTTAACACTTTTACAGCTTTTAATAAGTAATTTAATCAGATCAGAGCAAACAGTCGAACAATGAGCTTTTCAGCACATAATTCCACAACTCTTTTTATTCAGCATTGTACACTGTTATACAGCATTTATTCAATATATATGCTTATTTGTGACTTTGAATTGTTTGTTGGGTGGTATAAGAGCTATTTTGCTGAGTGTATTCACCTTTATACAGCAATAGTGTAAAGGAATGCAATGAAATCTATTAATGGAGCTGGAAAACATTTATAAGACGTTTAATAAAGCATTTTATTCAATCATTTGAAAACAGTCAAATAAAAGCGACAATGTATGTGCAAATTACACTTATTCAGTTTGTTATTAGATCAAACTTCTGGTTCTGAATAAGGAAGACATTCAACGTTTATAAAGCTTTTAATAAGGAAATTATTCATATCAGAGCAAACGGCGGAATAAAAGCGCATCTATCGATCCCAATGAGCTTTTTTCAGCACATAATTCGACATCCTGTTTTATTCAGCATTGTACACTGTTATACAGCATTTATTCAATGTGTATGCTTATTTGTGACTTTGAATTGTTTGTTGGGTTCTTAAAAGTAGATAATCTTCTACCTTCTCTACGGAGTTTTCTATAAGGGCTTGAATCGAAAATGTAAAAAATGGCTTCTTCCGCAAATTTTTCGAGGATGAAAACTTCACCACGATGATTGTGTAGGGGAAGAGTCCCTCTATCCGATATGATTCGAGGCTTGCATGGATAAACTTGTAATTACGAGAAATTTGTGAAAAGGGTCATTGTTTACATATCTGTTTTAGAGCCTTATGAAAACTTAGTAGAGACATATTACCACTAAAAGATTAGTAAAAAAAACTTAAATTTGTCACAACCTTAACTTTCGTTGACGGATTTTACATCAGGAAACCCTAAACACTGAAGAAAATCGTATCCACATTTCCGCATAAACACTTGCTTCAAAACTTTCCATTAATCTGCAACCGCCGGCCATGAATTCGCGTGACTTTCGCTTCAAGATTATCATTTCTGTGAATGGCGGAAATGAATCTTGCAATTTCCGGGCATCACAATACAAAGTAAAACGTTGATTTCCGGATCAACCAGTTTTGTAGATCGAGAGAGATTTTCGTACGCGTACGTTAATTCATTGCTTTAAACTTACATTTACGATGACATGAGTACGCATCTGCTTCGAGGTTGTGCCACTGTTCCGACCCGTTAAAATAGAATTGTTTAGTACGTATACACAGAATCATATACAGCACAAATGAGACAGTATGCTTCGCAAGTAGCTTCCCAAGCTACGAACAAAGTACGTAGCCCCACAATAATAGCTTTTAATCACACTTAATATTTTGAGAAGCATTCAACGTTGCGTCTTAACATAGGTATTGCATTTTAGCGGATTTAAAAAAAATATACATCTTAAAATCATTAGATAACAGTAAAATATACACATACGTAAATGTTCTGCATTCGATCCAGTCACAAGTAAAAGGTAGGTATGGATGGGATTAGCGAAAAAAAAAAATGCAACAAACTAAATAAACTGCTCGATCCAGCGTCGTTCAAAATAAATACAATCTCGAAACGCAAAGGTGGAGACTTTGGATTGCACTCAAACAATGACGATTTCTAATCACGCCCGCGGCAACGTAGATAGTTTGAAAATATAGTGCCATGCTTGCAACAATTGATTTACTATTAAAGGTAGCTTTGCGTGTGTTTCTGGTTTGAGTTAATTTGTCCTAGTCTAAGATGCAATTGTAGGTAGTTTTGTTTAAAGTTAGTAGACGAGAATTGGTTTAAATCGGGCTTCCGGGTCCTTCATGCTTCTTGCTAAGCTTGCTGCATACTCTATAAAACTTGCTGATGCCCGTAGTTTTGCAACTTTTAGCTAATATAAACATTAGTTCATGTCGTTAGCTGCTAGATTGGATCTGCTTTCCATATACTCTCCTAGGTGGCTTCTATTTTCGCTACTATTTAATATATTATCTGTCTAATTTAGTTCATACGAGTTCGGTAGCCGTCCACAAAAAAATGGGAGGGTGGGTAAAACTGTTCCTTTACTACATGTTTGTTTCATCGGTCTCTCAGTAGTTATGAACACATTACTAATCATTTCAATATTTTTTTGAATTTTTGCCGTTCCTGCTTATTTTGTTCTAGTGTTTCGCTAACCTCAGCTGAACCCTACCCGTCCATGGTTGGGGGCTTTTGGCGAAGGCGAAGCCGAGACAACTCATCTGAATTTCAGATGACTTCTCGCTTCAAAACACGAAACACGGGGATGGGGTCATATGGAGAACAGCAAAGATATACACATAGAGATTATATTTACACAAACCTTCCGTTGGCTCCATACCAGTGCCTAGTAGTACCGATAGTGCTTGGTGCGGGAGGAATGCAGTAGCTGCTGGTGGACAGCGCTGACTTTTTCCTGCTATAGAAGATTGTTGATCTGTCCCATCTGAAACCGAGGCAATGATCGTACATTTTTTTTACTGATATCTTGTGGTGGATAATCTGCTTACCAATGACCGACGATGCGCTTCCTTTTCCAATACGACCTGCGTCTGCTGGGGTGTGAATTTCAAAACGGCCGCTATCACCTTCACCAAGGTGGAATTGTTACCGGTGACGTTGCCGCTAAGATACTGGAAGTGAATAATGGATTAGAGGAACGATTGGCATTGGTAGAATGGATTGATGGATATGTTCTACCTGGAAAAGAATATTTCTTAAGTACTCGAACTCGGTGTTGGCCGCTATTCCTTCACTATGATGCATTGAAACCTAGGGAATTAAATCAAAAAGTATATATTAGTTCGTCAATCAAAAATTAGTGTATCAAAAGTAAAAAATAGCAACTATGAAATTTTCAGAGGCGGAGAACCAATACAGCAGGAGGAAGGTTTCATCGTTTGGCATAATGCTGTAGAAAAGTGTTATTTTAGTATTGAACTCAAGGGTCTCGTATGTCTTTGAGCAGAACAGAACCAAAAGCTTAAACATATGATTTGAAAAACGGAAAATATTGTCATCAATTAATCAAAACAAATGAGAATTGAGCGAGGATACTTTCGGTGATTTCGACGCTATTATTATTATCGTCGATGGTGAACATAGAAAGAATGGTTTTGAAGCGAATAAGCGCGTTCTTATTACAGTATCCCCCCGCTAATCCGACAAATTTGTGGTCGGATTAGCGGGGTTCATCCGATACCTAACCTACAACCTACCAACAACGTAACAATGTAAAAAAATGCTCTATTATGGACCGTGATGTCGGATTATCGAGTCATCCAATTAACGAGATCTGGAATGACGAGATACCAACCGGTGGAACCTAACGAGTTTAAATTTGTCCTTTTGTTCCATTGACTTTCAACCTTTTGTCATATAGATTCAAATTCATGCGATTACACGAATGTTATATGAAATTTCAGATGACCACTATTAATGTCGTTATTGGATGAAAATCATGTGCGTTTCCAATGGAAGCTACATAGAAGCTATTTTCGGTGGATTTTGGAATTCCTGAAACCTTTACAATAAATTTCCCATCTACAATGTAAATTTCATGGAAATCCATGCGTTTGGGAAAGGTCACACTTACCAGAGTCTCGTCCAATTGCCGCGACAGTTTTTCATTCTGCAGCTTCAACCGTTCGTTCGACTGTTCCATAATCAAATAGTTTTCACACTTTTGCTCCAGGAACAGGTTTCTGTTGGAAACATCCTGCACTTCGTGCATAATCTTCTTCAGCTTATTCTCCAACTCCTCCTTGCGGCTTCTCATCTCTTCCAGCGCCTTACCACCCCGTTCCTCCTGATCACCACCGGTCGCATCTGGTGGCTGCCGTCGCAGCTGTTCAATTTCCGCCGTGAACCGTTGCACATTTTCCTCCGTCTCCGCACTGAACACGTCGAACTTATCCTTCAAGTTGGAATGCTGTTGCACCAGTTCCAGCTTCTCGGCCAACGCAATGTTCAGTTCATTCTTCAATTCGTCCAAATCCCTCGTAAAGTTTTCATTCTCCAACCGCAATTCGTTCACCCCTTGCAGTTCCTTCTTCAATCGGTCGTTTTCAACGCCCAGTTCCTTCAATTGCTCCCGCATCTCTGTGTTCTCCTGCTCGAAATCGTTCTGCACGGTTTGCTTCTTGCTTCTGACCTCTTCAAGCTCAGTCTTAGTCTGTTCAAGCTCGTTCTTTAGCCCGTCTCGAGCGCTCGTTGCTTCTGCTAGTTGGTCTTCTAAGCTTAGTTGCTCCTCAGCACTCTTCCTGGCCAACTCGACGTTTTTGGTCGCTTCAGCTTTGAGTTCATCACTAGCTGTCGAGAGTTCCGCTACTCGCTTTTCAGCTTCCGATTTGCCATGCTCCAGCGTTAAGACCTTCGCCTTTAATTCATGTTCTTTCCCAACAAACTCATTGATCAATTTCTTAATCTCCTGATCCTTCTCCTCCACGATCGTTTCCACTTGACCAATTTTGACTTTGAGAGTACTGATTTCGGATTCCTTTACCCCGACCGCCGTTAAAAGTTTTGATTTTTCGTCCTTCACCGTGTGCAATTCCCCTTCCAACTGTTTGATCAACGTGTTGAGGTATTCGTTTTCGATCTTAATTTCCTCGTAAGTTTCCAGCTTCTTCTCCAGATCGGTAGCATTCTTGCTGAAAGATTGCTTCTCTTCATTTGCCTTCTTGATAAGGGCTTCCAGCTCAAGTAGACGATTTTGGTTACTATTCTTCATGGAATCGATCTCCTTGTTGAGAGCATCATTCTGCTCGACGATGGATTGTTTTTCCTGTTCCATTTTCGCCTTCAACTCGTTCTGTTTACTCTTTAGGTATTCGTTCTCTGCTCGAACTTTGTCGATTTCCACCTTGAGTGCGTCGCATTCCTCTGTGAGCTTCTGCTTCTCCTCTTCCAATGATTTGGTTGAACTCTTCAAAGCAGTCAGTTCTTCCGATAAGCAGCTGTTGTTGTCCAATACGCACAGCTTCTCCTTTTCCTTAGCTTCCAACTGATCTTGCAGTGATCGATGCTGATGATCCAATAGTTCTTTTTCGTTAAACAACTTGGCGTGATCTCCAGTCGCCGTTTTCACCTTCTCTTCCAACTCTTGGCATCTCTTCTTCAGATCTTCAACATTCGCATGGGATTCTTTGATCTTCTTTTTCTCGTGCTTCAGTGTGGATTCCGACTCCTGCAGAGCAGCCTGAAGTTTCTTGATCTCTTCGGACGTTCGTCGATTGTTCTCCTCCAGCAGACAGTTCTTCTCTGCAAGCTGCGAATTTTCACATTCAACCTGCTGCAGTTTTATTTCGTTTTCCTTTACCTTTGCTTGCCACTTGTGAGTGTTTTCCTTGTCTGCCTTGCTCTTCGTTTCAATGTGCTGTCGCTGCAATCGCTCGATCTTCTCCTCCAATGTTTGTTTCTCGTTCAAAATGGATGAATGGGAGTTCTTTACGTCCTTTAACTGTTCCTCTAACCGACCAATCTCCTGCAGAATGTTGGTAACCTGTGCTTTGAGTTCCGTCTTTTCCCGAATCTCTCGATCGAGCGTCTTCTCTAAATCCTTCTTTTCGTTGCGCAACGATTCAACTTTTGCTTTAAGGTTCGTTGCTTCCGATGCCAGATCTTCCTTCTCTTTTTGAACACCGTCTAACTTTTCGGCTATTTCGTCTCGTTCCTCGGCAAGTTTTCTATTTTCTTCTGACTTTAGCTCGATTACGTGATTTAAATCACGCGTTGTTTCCAACAATCGTTCTTCGGCCTGCGCCAAACTAGCTCTCATCGATTCCTGTAGCGACTCCAATGCTTCGGACTCGGAATTCTCGTTGATGATTTTCATATTCCTAATCTCCTCGGCAAGGGCAGCCTTCTGCTGGAGCAAACTGTTCATCTCCTGCTTGCAGCCCTTTATGTCCGTCTGTAGTTGCTCATTTTGCGATTTTAAGCTACCCTTCTCTTCCGTTATCTTCTTAAACTTGGAATTGACTTTCTCCAGCTTCTCTTTGAATTGCTTCAGCTCCGCAGTGAGATGGTTATTCTGGTCGAAAACCTCCTTGAGACTAGCCTCATTGCTGGAACGGTCCCGCTCGTGCACTTCCTTCGCAGCATCCAAGGCCTTTGTTACCTCAACCAGACGTTCCTGGTCGAGTTTGATGGTTTTCTTCAATGTAACGATCTCGTCCTCCTGTTCGATGAGCTTTTTATTCTTTTCCTCCAGTGCACTTTGAATGGTTTTCAGTCTGGATTCCTCTTCAGTATGAGCAGTTTCTTGTTGTTTGATTTGGCTTTGGAGTTCCTGAATGGTGGCGTCTTTGTCTTCTATAGATTTTTGAAGCATTTGTAAAGTAAGTTTAGCTTCCTCACTACGTTTATCATTTGCCACTTGATTTGAACGAGAATCCTCTAATTCCTTCAGCGTTGCTTCAATGTTTTGCTGCAACTCGTCTTTATTTGAACATAGTTCCTTAATCTGTCCCTTAAGTGCATCAACTTCAGCTGTCGAGCTCAACGATTTAGACAGCTCCTCTAAATCTGTGATCTTTGTGGATAAGTCTTCGTTTTCTTTCAGCGTCTTCTCCAGTTTATCATCAGATTCAGCCAGATTTCTGGACAAATCATTCCTTTCCTGTTCCAAATTGATGGTAACGGTTTTCATTCGATGTTTATCCTTTTCCAGTTCCAAGATCTTCCGCTCGAACTCTACAAACTTGGACTCCAGTTTGTTCTTTTGATCGTTACATGTCGCAACCGTGCTATCAAGTTCCTTCACCTTTTTCTCTGCCGCGCCCAACTTGTTCTTCAACTCAGCCACCTCCTTCCCCAATGTGTCCTTATCAACCAGTACCTGTTTCATGTTTTTCTCGATACTTTGCAATTGCTCTTTTAGCTTTCTCACTTCCCCCTCTTTACTCTCCAACTCGGAATGAATTGCCATCTTATTTTCCGCCACCGAAATCGAGTGCTCTTCTTCGCGCTGTTTCAGTACAGCAACTTCCTGAGCCAGAGCTTCCTTCAGCTTGATCTCCTGTGTCAGCTTGGCTTCCAAGGCCTTCAACTTCTCCTCCAATCCTGCTTCATCCCCAGACAGCGATATCAAGTCCTTTTCATTCTTCAAAGTATCATCCGACCCATCCCCAACGGCTTCCAGTTTCGTTTTCAACGTCTTCACCACACACTGTAGCTCGTCGATCTCCATCCGCAGTGCCGAATCGAGATGTGCCTTCGCTTGCTGCTCCAGTGAACATTGCTCGCGCAACTCACTGATCCTTCGCAGCGCTTTATCTTGTGTCTCGACCAGCACCGACCGCGCCTTGCTGTTATCCTTCTCCAGCTCCCGATAGCGACGAGCCAACTCGGTGTACCGTTCCCGATACTTCTGGTAGCGATCCAATGCTTTCTTGTAGGCCTGGAAGAGCTTTTCTTTGCTCACGAGATCCAGCTGACCGTTGCTGGCAGCGGCACCGGAAACCGATTCCGTTTCGCTGGCCGACACGTCGATGTCCGTTTCCAGGTGGTAGATCTTAAAATAAATCAATTTTGTTAAGCTTTACTTCATTAATGGTAGCGTATTCTAAGACTTACAGCAGGAGACTCGTAAGCCGGCAATCGGAACGAGACATCGCTTGCCATGGACGAATTGGACAGCCGACGAGTTCGGTTAGTTGTTGGTGAAACGCCATTGTTGTTGCCGCTGCTGTTGACCGGATTGCCACCGGTAAGGTTTGCGAAAAACGACCCGCTGCTGATGCTAGTATTGCCGGTATTGCTGCTGCCGGTGTTACTGGCATTGACGGAAGATCCTGTCGAAGCGGTACTATTGTTGCCCAGCGTATTGTTGTTGATCTGGTTCAGGACCGGTGTGCTGGTGCTGCTCAGTGCTTGAGATTTACGTAACGGAGAATTTTGCGGTGTGTCTGCAGGAGAAAGAGGTGACACCGTGTTGAGATTATTTGCGAATTAAAGCAAAATGACATATCATACCATCTTCCGTGATGCTAAAGAAATTTTCGCTACCCGATATTTCGGATGTGGACGAAGAAGCGGAGCTTACGGCGGCCTGGAAATAGACAAAAATATCATCAATTAGATTTATCGTTATGATAGGCCGAGCATATTTTTAGATTTGACAGATCCGATCTTCCAGGACTACAAATATTATCCGCCACGATTCGAATAACAGTCCCATGCTCTGGGAAAATCCTGTCAACATGCCAAAATTTCAGAATTTCCAAAAGACATTGCACCATTACCGGGCAGTTAAGCGTCACATCTAATTACCTACTAAAGTTTCAAAAGACGAACGAGCCAGTCTCGCCTTAATTGATTATTGTCAAGGAATGACGAACTAGGTGCAGCTGAACGAGTTGCCATGGAAAGTACATGGGGGTCATTCCGCGAGTTATTTGAGGCATGTGGGTCATTTTAGGCATAATAGTTGGATACGATCACTATGTTCCATTCGCCTCCTGGACCTGGCCTTCAGAAGACTCCACAAAATCGAAATCAAACAAATTTAATGATTCTTCCAAGAATTCCCTTAAGCTTCCTTCCATTCCTTTCTTAGAATTTCCATGCAATTAACCTCAGAATTGCATGGGGTAATCAACTCTGCACACTGTGCCGAAACACAGCATGGCACACTGTTCAACTCGATAGGGCATACTTTGAAAAGTAAGACACATCCAATATAGTATAAAATGGCATCACTGTTGAGTGTTGACATTTTGCCAATCGTTGGTCACTTGTCAAGGTTGACTACTCGATTAAATACTTTGTTTGCTCAAAAGTGAAACTAGTGAGAGAATTCGCTACATTGATACATAAAACTGGCAAAACAACGATTCAATCAAGAATTTAAGAACGGCAAACCGGATTCGAGGATCGTTCGAAAAAAATCTGTAAGTATTCTCTGAACCGTGAATCTCTTCAAATCCAGCAAAACTCAGTCCGTCTCATCTGATTCACATTAAAAATCCCAGCGGCTCGTGATTTCATACACAACAGCTTCTATTCAGGCTTAACTTCAATCAAGTTCATCTACACCACAGACGAGTGCACGGATGAATTTGAGTTCACAGGCTGTGAACCGAGGGGCGATTCACTTGTGTATTTTCGATTCAGGCCAACGTATTGATAAACGTATTGAAGTATTTTTTTTATCGAATAAACGTGTATTTTGTGTAATAATGTATTTTTTGGTATTTTTTGAATATATGTATTTTTTTTGTGTATTAGAAAAATAAAAGTGTATTTTTATGCATTAATGTATTGAAAATCAGATATAAGTGTATTCTGTCATTTCAGTGTTTATGTTTACCACTCGAACCGAGGATCAAACGGATCAAACTCACAATGTTGACGTTTTGTTTGACAAATGCACAACACACGTGAACTTTAAAATACCCACTGATGAGTAGAATTTCACCAATTTTAAAGAAAAGAGACTTAACTCATTAACTACGTAGACAGTTTTTTGGGTTTCCTCGCCCCCCCCCCCCCCTTATAAACCTGCGTAGACAAATGTCCAGACAAAATTTTTAAAATTTGTATGGGCCGCGAATAATTGCCATCCCCCCCCTTAATTGTCTACGTAGATTATGAACAGCCCCTTACCTCGCTCATTACGCATTAATAAACATCTGTTACATTACGCTACATCTGTTACATTACGCTACATCTGTTACATTACGCATTAATGAATTATCGTTACTTATTTGTGGCTCACAACTACTCAAAATGTTTTTTTTTATTTAATAAATGGCACTTTTCTTAAAAATGGGCGAAATTGTACTCATTAATGCATTGTTTTGTGATTCAAGCTCGGATTAAAACACAAAATAATAAATTTACGCATTTTGTTCGAATTCAGCATTTTGATTGTACATATTTTCGATTTTTTCGTGCAAATGACGAATTATCGTGTATTTTTATTATTCGTCGAATATTTTTGTATTTTTTTCCGAATTTGTATTTTTTTTGCATTTTTTTGAATAATGACGAGTAATGATGAATTTTTGTGTATTTTTTTTCATTAACGTATTTTCGATTCATTCTCGAGAGCAGTGAATTGCCCCTCGCTGTGAACCATTTGCCGAGTTAAATTCAACTCGTGGTTAAAAGTGACATTTCGAAAGTTATTTTCTAGGTTCGAAAATCCCCGTGCTGTCGATCGATCGGTTTTCGAGCCTCGGTTGTCAAAATTTAACTTCTTGTCTGTCAGAAATAACCATGCTCGGATGGGTTATTCGATAACTTTTCATCTGTCAAATGTTAACCAAAAGTTAAAATAATCCACCAAATGGTTCAGAGCCCCACTCGACAAAAAGTGGCACAAGCTGCGGGCAATGTTTACTAAGCATGAGGGCTAATGGCGGTAAGCTCCAACTCGGCTTAAGCCGGCGCCGGTAGTGTAGTAGTAAGCGTGACTGCTTTCTCGCCCCAATGGGTCTGGGTTCAATCCCAAGTCGGTGGGATTTTTCTGAGGCATAAAAATCTCTGGTCACGTCTTCCTTCGGAAGGGAAGTAAAGCCGTTGGTTCCGGCCCATGTGTGTTGTTGAATGAATGCGATATCCTACGCAGGTGTGGAAGCTGCTTTCCTGCACATTCGATTGCCGTCAATGGATGGCAATCGATGTCCGTCGGTGAATGGCACTAGATTGCGGAACAGAGACCGAGGTTAAATAAAGTAAAGAAGAAGAAGAAGAAGAAGAACTCGGCTTAACTTTTAATACCGTCCCTGATTGGAGGATCTGCGAAGTGTTTGTCAAGGATAGTAAAGGGTGATACGGTCAAAATTTGGTCAAGGGAAAACGCGTGTAAATCGGTGAAATCGTTTATTTAAAAAATCAAATTAAATTTCTTTTTCAAGTTCAATTAGTATAAAATTCAGGAAAAATATTCAGTTAGGCTTCCGCTTTTCCAAATCCGAATTGCCGGGCCTTACGCTTGACCCCTGCCATCAGATTTTGTACAGCCACCTTGTCCACCTTCTTCGCCGCAGAAAGCCAGTTTGCCTTGAACTGCTGCTCGCCCTTAGCAGTTTTTTTGGTCTTCTTTAGGTTCCGCTTGACAATAGCCCAGTATTTCTCAATTGGGCGGAGCTCTGGCGTGTTGGGAGGGTTCTTGTCCTTGGGAACAACCTGCACGTTGTTGGCGGCGTACCACTCCATGGCCTTTTTACCGTAATGGCAAGATGCCAAATCCGGCCAAAACAGTACGGAACAACCGTGTTTCTTCAGGAAAGGCAGCAGACGTTTATTCAAACACTCTTTCACGTAAATTTCTTGGTTGACAGTCCCGGAAGCTATGAAAATGCTGCTTTTCAAGCCACAGGTACAGATGGCTTGCCAAACCAGATATTTCTTTGCGAACTTTGACAGTTTCATGTGCTTGAAAACATCTGCTACCTTTCCCCTTCCTTTTGCCGTATAAAACTCCTGTCCCGGAAGCTGCTTGTAGTCGGCTTTGACGTAGGTTTCGCCGTCCATTACCACGCAGTCAAACTTCGTCAGCATCGTCGTGTACAGCCTCCGGGATCGCGCTTTGGCCGTCGTATTTTGTTTATCATCGCGATTTGGAGTCACTACCTTCTTGTAAGTCGATAGTCCGGCTCGTTTTTTGGCTCGATGCATGGTTGTAGACGATACACCCAGCTTATTTGCGGCATCTCGGAGAGAGAGGTTAGGGTTTCGCTTGAAACTACCGGCAACTCTCTTTGTCGTCTCAGCGGCTTCCGGTTTTCGATTTCCCCCCGATCCAGACTTCCTGGCTGTCGACAAACGTTCCCCAAACACTTTAATTACATTTGTAACGGTTGATTTGGCAACTTTTAGCGATTTTGCCAACTTTGCGTGCGAGTAGCTCGGATTTTCGCGAAGCGCGAGCAAAATTTTGATACGCTGCTCTTCTTGCTTGGACGGCATTTTGACAACTGAAGAGTGAATTCCAAAATCAAAATAGGAGCAACATTCTACACACACACACCTTCAAAATGAGGGGTGTTCAGGTTTTTTAAATGCAAAATTGAAAGAAATACGTCAAGTTGATATTGACCAAATTTTGACCGTATCACCCTTTAGAAGGGGGTACGTTAGTCGATTTGCTTGGGACCAATATTCGTATTGATTTTTGCCTATACTTCTTTACTCCAGACCACAAGTGATCATGAATACACTATTTTATAGTATGGCTTGCTTCAAAAAGGATTAAATTCAGTTCGGATGGTCTGCCTAATCCCTAATGCATTGAATTCTAAGCATGACGATATCACTACCATGACAAAACTCGTTAAATAGTGCACCTAAAATCGAGCTTTTTTGCGTGGCGGGTGGCAAGTTTGTGAATGGTCAAATGCCTGATGTAAGCTAAGCAGACCTTCTATCACCTCTTGTAACATACAACAAATTTTCCACAATACATGGCGTTTTGCACCACTAGTTGTAATTGAAGCTTTCAGCAGGCACGCGTCAAACGGAAGCAACACGGAAACAGCAGTCTGGTACGCTTTGGACGTGTATCATACTTGCAGACCGGTTTGAATGTGTGAGTTTAAATTATAAGAAAATATGTGATGTATGGGTGCCTAAAGCGTGCATTTCTCGCTGTGCACTTGGATATCTGATTGCAGGCAAAGAGAGTAATGGAGAAAGAGAGCGCTCTCACTCTCTTGTCAGTTGTAAATCCCTCAATTACCGATGGTTCCATACCCATACCCAAGACGCCATATTTAAAATACGTTAAACACTACCGCCATCTACTCATCTGATCGCATCATATCGTGAGCAAGGACACGAATACACGTGAAATTTATACTGTCTTGGTTTGCGTCTCACCTCGTTTGACAGATCTGGTCGCCCGTTTGACACATCGAATCGCTCATTTGACAAATTGAATTACGGACAAACGAAACGCTGCAGGGGCATGTCGGTTCGTCGGTGGCTTACCACCATTAATGTTCATGATTGGTGAATATTTTCCGCAGCTTGTGCCACTTTTTCTGGAGTGAGTGAACTCAAATCCAACCATGCACTCATCTATGGCCGGTCAAGAGGGTCTTGTTGATACGGCAGACCGGACGACTGATTAAGGTGTGCAGAGTTGAATCGTTTCCTGAACCAGGCCTCGAAAATCAAAATCAAAAAATGTACTCACCAAGAATTCCTGAAGCTTCCTTCCAAAATTCTAGTTAAAGTTCGCTTGAATTCTCCTTAGAATTCCCTTGCAAATAACCTCAGAATTGTCTTAAAATTCTGCCGAGCTATCTTGAAGTTCTCCACTAAATTCTTTTGAAAATTCACTTGGAATTCGCCTTACAATTCTCTAGAAGTTCTTCTCGAGAGCCCTTGGAATTATTCTTGAAATTTCATAAAAAAAAAACTCTGCTCATAGCACCTTTAGCATTGTTCCGAAGACAACACATCATTTGATGTGATTTGTTGTCTTCGATTGTTCCCTAAAAATGTAATCCTCTTGATAGTTATCGAGGAATTCCCATGTAACTCTTTTTAGAATTCACTTGAAGCTTTCTTTCGAATTTTCTAAGAATTCAGCATCCTCTGTATTTTCTTGGAATTCTCATCATAACTCTTTTAAAATTCTTCTCAAACCTTATTTAGATTGTTCAACCTGGAACCTGGACTCCTTTTCGCAATCGTCATGGAATTTCCCGCATTAGAAGATTCTACTCTGAACTCACACAATTGACTTGGAGTTCTAGTCAAATCCTTTTAAGAGTTCTTAAAAAAAGCCTTTGGTAATATTCTCTGAAATACCTTGTTGTTATCTCCAGAATTCATTCTAAAATCTCTTCAAATATTTCTTTGGAATTTTCATAAAACAATTCTCAACTTTTAGTTCATCAAAGTGACTGTATCCTGCAAATTTGGTCCAGTTCAAGGGTCTGGACGTTGTTTAAGGGTCCTCAATCTTATTTTTCCGAATAAATTCACGGGCTTTTCTCGGGTTATTCTCGCTGATTTCGATTTCCCGGCTTTTCTCGGTTTACTGGTCACCCTGATTCAGGCATGATGTTTCAAATCATTTGGTTGAAATAAAGAACGGCATCGTCAACACAGCCAGCTGATTCTAATGACCACCAGTTTAAACGGGCACTAGTCTCAGCATAGTCAGTTCGTCGGAAATCCAGGGTACGATTAACTTCAGACCGATCTTCAAAAACGATCGGCGATGGGAGATTCATCAGGATGCCTAAAGGTGGTCTGAGCCAAGAAGGGTCAAAGATTCTATGACTTCAGAAACGATGCATGCTAGAGTTGCTACTAGTCGATACACCATTGATCTACGTTAGGCCAAGTAAAGCGAAACCATCGATAAGCATTGAACTAGCAGCCGATAAAACCGTTTGATGCTCAACCTGACAAGAATACATCGTTCGACTAACTCTACCGGTGCAAAGGCTCGTTATAATCTGTAGAGCAGAGTCATTGTTCCAAATTGGTAACAATAGCACCGATAGAGTTCACATGGTCCTGAATACTATTGATATTGTTTCGATGGTCAGGAGGTAAATAGATCACGACTACACTAACAACTTGATTTGCGTAGTGATCCTAACCCACAGCAGCATTCCAACGAGTTAAAACAGCGATCAACAGGTTATGCATCTCCTGCGGACCACAACAAGATTAGATTGGGTCAGGGTTGCTTCCACTCACTTCGCTATAAAAAATGTTGTTTTTTAATTATGAAAACATTATAATAATTATTTGTACTGATGGATGATGGAGACGTTCTAAAGTATATATATGTTAAACAGATACTTTACAACTTCCTCTTGTGTCCACCAACCGCGAAATGTTGGGCAGTATGATGTACCTGATGTTATGTGCCAGGCTTGGTATATTTGCTATGCTGTTAGCAATATGGGAAAATGCCAGCAACATCCAATGATAGCAACTGGTAAGCTCTGAACAAGATTGTCGGATTTCTAAAGGCTACAATTAAAATAATATTTATATGTCAACTTTTCTGATTTCTTTAATGAAGTTTGCGATCATGGAAGAGATCAAAAAATATCCCATATTGTAGAGTTTTAAAATTTGTTATAAGTCCATAATCTTGATTTTTTTATGAGCTCCAGTAAACTCTCAAACGCTATATTAAAATTCACCTACACGACTCGTATGAGATGTTGAAGCCTCTTCAAAATTCCTTAGAAAATTTCGTTCATACTCGTCTATTTAAATAAATTCCTTGCTGAATCTTTCACGAGAACAGTGTTTCAACTGTATTTAAAAATGTTCCTATAGGTAAATAAACGACAAACTAAAATCTTGTAGACGATCCCCATTTCTCCTACGAAAATTCGCATCATCTTAGTACGTTCAAGAGCTACCACGCAGAGCAATAAAATTGTTTACAAATCAAAAGGAGTGGTCACAAGTAGTACAAACAGATAGAAGCCAACACATAGTGAACACACCGAAACAAAAATCGAATAAAAGTGAATCACAGCTGCGTGAAATGTATACTAGCAATTTATGAAAACAAACTTTGCAAAACAAGAGAAATCTTTGCTTGGCTTGCTTCTGCTGCTGGCCAGTGAAATCCATTACACCAAGAGATGCCATTCATCGGGGCGATAAAGACTGACGAAAGACGATCGAACGGAAGGAAAGACGGGACGGGCGGACGGAGCATGGGAACATTACGAAACGCCAATTAGTATACTAGAGCGCACCCACTGCAAAAGGAAAAAAATATCTCCTACCAAAAAGAAGTAACGCCCGTCTTATCCGCAAAAGAAAGGAAAATGGGGCTACCCCACCTTCGCGCTGTTCTGCAGAGGAGGAACGCATATGCAATTCCCAGTTGTACCGATCCCGTTTTTTTCCTCCTTACCTGTAAACCCTTGGACAGTTGCTCAAATCGCTGGGGCGATTGCTTCACCTCCTCGGTGATTTTTTCCTTCAGTTTCTTGAACATGGCTGTGGTCGTTATTTGATCCGTCCGTTTTTACGCCGACCGCATTCCGAAAGCAACACTATCCACTCGAGACGATTTTACAGAGCAATTTGCACAAAATTTTCACGGTTTTCACAAGCAGGCAGACCACAAAAACAGCTAGGATGAAAATCTACGTGTAAGAATTTTTTTTCCACTTTTGATTGAAGATGACAATCTTCGAGAGCGCCGCTGTCTCTCGCCCCAGTTTTGACAACTTTGGGAGCAATGCCCACCCGAAAATTGGTACAGGGCTGGGCGCTACTAAAGTAGCGGCTTCATTTTGGTGCTAACGTACACACAAAAAATTGTGATTGTGGATTTCACATACACGAAACGAAAATCAATTATTTAATTCATGTCTTTCACTTATACATTTTTGCCAAAGCATCAGCCTTATACATTCCATAAGACAAACCACATAGGTCCTACTAGAATGCATAAAAGGTATGTGTGACCGCTTATGCATTTCATTTGACACATGATCTTTATTAACTTTTTGCAAGGCGTCTGCTTATTAGTTGACTTATACATTTTATGAATAATCAGCAATGGAAATTTGCCAAAAGGTATAAGGAGATTTCTATCCGTGTAGTTTCCTGTTATCGAATAGCAGCAAATCCCACCACAAAATCATATGAATATTATGAGGAAAATGAAATTCATATGAAAAATCACATAAAACTAATATGATGGCATAAAAATTATGTGAAATTCAGATGAATTCCGTTAATTTTAATTATGGATGAAGATCATGTGCGCTTCCAATGGAAGCTACATGAAAAACTATTTTCGGTGTACACTCAAAAATATTAAAATAAGGCTGACTTTTTTGTTTACCTAGAACTTTTGACCGATCACAGTAGATTGCCTCTATAGAGTCGGTGTATAATAGTACGTTCAGACTACAGAGTTATAACATGTTATAGCGCTATCTTGATGGTGATTTCTGTGTTGCAATTATTTGACAACCGTTATAACATGTTATAACTCTCCAGTCTGGACAGTGTTTAAGTCACGCCAAGAGAAAAACAGTTGAACTCACATCACGGTTTTCGAAGGATTCCCTTTCCTTTCACTTGGCAACAGAGGACTTCTACATCAACTTCAAATGACTTCTAGCGAGAGCAAAAAAATAGCGGCTGTAGTTAATCATTATAACAGAGATTTTGTCAAATTATCTTAACAAAAAATAGAAAAAAATTCTCATTACTGATCATTAACATACGTATCACATGACAATTTACTGCTCGCTGGGTGTTTATGATCATTTCTTCAATTTTATTTTATATTTAATTACAATACCTTTCCGGGACCTTTCATAGAGTCGTAATGTTTGTTTACTTTGGACAATAGATAGCCGGTTTGACAGTTCAATAGGTAGACTTGGCTCCACTCTTGGCGTGACTCATTATATACCGACTCTAGCTTTATAGTATAAAGCTCCCCACGGCTTCACATGTAATTCAAGCTGATGTATGAAATGATGATGTAATAGCAAAAAGCAGATACAATATTACATCAATGGATGTAATTTTGTTCGCAAAATCGATGTACATCGTACAACGTTATATACACAACCGATGGATTGACCTGGTTGCAGCAGTTTGGATGTAATATTCAACAACTTTTTTTTCTGTGTAGCATTCATATGCCTCCGTGAGATCAATAATATCCATCATTTTGGAACTGGGACGATAAATGTCAATTATTTGCCGCTTTGTTTTGCTTAGATTTCTAGCCATAAAAATTTTATTTATCAACGGTCTGCATTATTTCCTACAGCCAGAATTTCAAAAAAGGCGTGAGGGCATTTTAAGCGGTGGTCTGATCTAGATCCAAATTTATGCCACATTTGAACCAGCTAAAATTAAAAGGATCAAGCCAAAATAGATCAAACTGTGTGCTTACGCACCGGTTGGACTATTTTTGGCCGTTCTATTTTAAACGTCAAAACCCGAGTCGAAACCAACTCACACCCTGATTTTGTGGTCAGCCATTTTTTAATCTCGTACTCATTCGTACACACGCAATATAAAAACTGTATCAATAAAAATAATGTATTTTCAAATTGAAAGTTTCTCATAATTCGTAGTTTTAACTACGAATATATTCAAAATGAAAGTCACGCTATGAGTTTGAAAGAATTTCTTTCAATTTTGGCTTGTAATTTTAAAAGTTCATTATTTGAAAGAAAAATTGTTCAACTGTCAATAATATGTGTTCATTATCAACTTTTACTGGCAGCCCTGAACCCTCATTTACATTTCCCGCCTTTGTCCCTCTGACCGCTAGTGGAAATTAGAAGTGGCAAAATTTCGCAAAATAATATATTTATATATTATCTAATCTAGCATTGCTGCTACCATTTTCAAGGTTTGCGTGAACATTTAGAAAAAAATGTTATTGTTCCTGTAAAGGTTATTAAAATTGTATTGAGCTTTTGTTGGATCCAATAAATTTGATTGATTACATGATTTTTCTGCACAATTTCAGGTTACTTTTTTACCCTAGTTTTATCGCTTCCGTAAGTAACACTAATGGAACGTTAATCCGGATTGGTTCTGCTATTCAAGTCATAATGAGCAAAGGAATGCTCGTTACTTCTACTGACCAAGCCGGTTGTCAAGTCACAGCGTGGATGCGAAGGATCGTGGTCTACGTAGTCCGCACCAGTTGCTGTTGGTGGATGTTTGGATGAACTCACCGTCATGGACATTGATTTGTCCCTAACGGTGGGACCGGTTCCCGAGTCAGTTAAGTTTTCCTGGAAGTCTGATCAGCTCTACTGGAGTAAATTTGAGACACCGAACTCGTATTGTGTAAGCACAAATGTGATTTATGCCGAATATTTGAACAAACTTTATCGTATTTTCAGGATGAATTATGCAACGGCACATTTGTTCACTGTAATTTTGTTAGCACTTGATATATCATTTCGTATGGCATGAAGCTTGCATTACACGCACAGTTTCAACACAATCGCACAAGGGGTGCTTCCATAGAGGTAACTCTAAGACCACTGGGTCCCGAAGAAAATCATTATTATTTTTGGCTCACTCAGTACCAGAACAACGGTCCCAAGCAGTCCCAAGCTATTTCACTCACCCCTGCATGTTCTGCATGAATTCACACACCCCTGATGTTATCTGTCAAACTTTCATAGCGAATCAAAACAAACATAGTGTAGTAATAGAATTTCAACTAGAATAGGGTACGTTAATCGTTTGCTTGGGACCAATAGGCTACTAAAGTGGTGAGCCAATTTAAAATCGTTAGTTTCGTATTGATTGTTGGTGCTTCTGTCGGATATGGACTTTTCGAATCACTCTTCGCTTCAACACGCATGCACACATGTACAACGTGATTTTATTTGATTTTAGTCAATTTCATTCTCATATCTCGATGAACATTTCAAATGGTCCTATCTGCTTTGATCGATTCTCTTCATCGACGTTCTCTTTTCATAACCACTGCTATGTAAATAGATTTCGCGCTAATTCTATCACATAGTTTGATAAAGGAGGTTCTTATCTAGCGTCCAAAACGTCAAATACAACAGGGAAAGGTTTTGCAGCTGAGTTATTGACAAAAGAGAAAGTCGATGAAGAGAATCGATCCAAGCAGATAGGACCATTTGAAATGTTCATCGAGATATGACCAAACCAGGAAGCTGTAGTGATCGGAACTGCTGGAGGAAGTTATCTGCTTCTTGAAAACCCTGCGTTTGAACCGAGGGGGGCGACTCTATCTACGATGCAGGAAATATTGTGTTTTGCTGTGGTTAGCTGCGCGCACACTGAGTAGATAGAAAGAAGATTGATGTCGATTATGAAGATTTCCTGCAAAAAGATGATGCGCGATGCAAGTAGATGAGAGAAATTAAAGAATATTTTTCGAAGTTTGATTCGCTAGTGTGAGATTTGCTGAGCATCTAGAATTGAGATTTAGATGTGTCGCCCCCCTCGGTTTGAACAGCATAAACAACAGCAACTGTAAATTTCTCAAACACTGCTGCTATCTATGTAATGGAGGACGAGATGGAGGAGTCCCGCAGGAAACAACAGCAGCAGGGAAATTGTTAGTTTTAAGGCTGTCAGTATATTGGGTATATTGGGTATATTGGGTTTGCAGCTTAATTTGAAAGACAAATGGGTGCGTCGATATGGAAACATATCATTATGTTAGGTAATGTTAACAATATTTTACATTGAAAAATAAAAACAGTTATTCAAAACATTTAATTTTGATATTCAGTATACCGTGGACCCCCGGTAATATGACCGGTTTTAATCTGAACACTTTTTAATTTGAACCCCGCTTATCTTCACGGCGTGCAAACTAAAAATTGCCTAAACGTCATTTTGCACATGGAACGGAGTAAAGCGAAATGGAACATTGCAAAACGGAACGCAGAATCAAAACAAAACAGCAAATAAGGCAACCAGAAACACGCTGATAGGGTTACTAGAAGTTCAAATTAAAAATGAACCCCGTTAATATGAATGAGGTGTCGTTCAGATTAGCGGGGGTCCATGGCGAGGGGGGCGACTCTATCTACGATGCAGCAAAAATTGTGTTTTGCTGTGGTTAGCTGCATGCACACTGAGTAGATAGAAAGAAGATTGATGACGATTCTGTAGATTTCCTGCAAAAAGATGATGTGCGATGCAAGTAGATGGGAGAAATGATTGAAGATTTTTCGAAGATTGATTCGCTAGTGTGAGATTTGTTGAGCATCTAGAATTGAGATTTAGATGTGTCTTTTGACAAAAATAAGACAATTCAATCACGCCATTTTTGCAGTTCACACTTGAATTGTGACGTTTCAGATGTTGGTTTCAATAACATGGCGCATATCACCCAGCTGATATTAATATTCTTAAAGAAAAAAAATCTGAAAAGATGATTATTTCGAATTCAATCATGGCTCGGTCTCAATAAGCAGAGTCAATGTTGTAATAAGAGTCCCGTCAAGAGTGAAGTCAGAAGTACCAATCGAACTGTCAAACGGAGTACCAAACGAGCAAAATAAATAAACATTATTGTTCCCACAGTCAGTGAACTACAAGTATTTATTGCATTCATTACTGACAATATTTTAGCAATTTTAAATGAAAAACATTTCTTCGCTTTATTTAGTAGATTGTGGTATTTATAAGTTATACCAAGCACTTGTTTAAACATTTTTCAGCCTCTATAATCTAATCTAATAATCTATACCAGAAGCTCCGTTATCGATATGAAATTTTTCACTTCTGAATGAAAGTCATCCGAGGCTAACGCAAAAATCTGGTTGCCGTTTACTCTGACAAAAAATAAATCACAAACAGTGCTGCTTGTTCACAAAATTTTCTCTTGGCAGGACTCCTATTATATCATCGACTCTGTCAATAACACAAACGAAGTGACAGACGACTTACTGGCGAAGAAATCCATTTAAATAATGTGGTTCACTCCTGGGTTCACTGTAATAGAATTTTCTTGGAAGCTTGTGCCATCATCCACCAGATTTTTTGTTTTGATTTGAACAAAGTTGATTTTGTGTACAATGATTCTTTGACAGTGTGCAAAGAGTGCGTATCATTTTGTCATGTTTTTATGCATTTCAGTTTTGAGTAGAGTGAAAGAGATAGAACCAAAATATTCTAGTACATTTCTAGATAGAGCTGGAATTAGGGCTGGAATTAGGGCGTAACAGCTTTTGTAAACAATGACTTCTCTCGTTGATTTCTAGCAACTCAAGTCACGCCTACACCAACCAACATATCCATCGAGTAGGGGAAGTCTTCCCCTATTCGATGGCAATATTGATTTGCCAGGGATAGTCATGCCTTTCGAGAAATTATCGAGAGAAGCCATTGTTTACAAAAGCTGTTACGCCCTAATTCCAGCTCTATCTAGATTTGGTGAAAATGCTAGTTCAATCCAATAGTAGTGTTGCCATGTGGTACAATCCAGTAGTAGTGGTGTTGCCATGTGGTACACTGAAAAATTGCAATAGAAGGTTAGTCACCAAAGTTTTCGAGCCGCTCCGGCTGTCACTTCGTTTGTGGTCAATAAGGTGAAGCGGGAATTTTCATAGTTTTTATGCTTTTATGATTTTATTTATTGTTGAGTGTATAGGTAGCGGTTAAATATCATCCAGCTCTATTTACTCACACCCTCCACTAAACTGGAAACCCTATCAGATTCTACCAGCGGCAGCTGTCAAAAACCTGAACTGAGAGTGTGTTGGTGCATCTGGTTGAAAAGTTGAACATCGCAAAAACGTTTAGTGAAACGCGTTTTAAAGTCGCGATCTTTATCCTTTTTTACCGTGCAAAATTAGTGTAAAACTGATGAAAAACTAGTGCAAATTGTAAATTAGGGGACGCCAATACCGGTAAGTGTGAAATTTACATCCGAACGGTGTTGTTTGTGGGGTAAAATTTCGTTTGAAAATTTTACATCGCGGCCGGCCTTCGCCACCGCGGCGAGCAATCAGCAGACAGCAATGGCCGACTTTCACCAAATTTTTGTCCTTCGACGCAAATTCAGTTTGTTTTGCTTGGGTAGTTGAAATCGGTTGAAATTTGGGGATTTTAGTCTGTGGAATTGGTTTAGTTGCGGATTTGAAGTGTGGAAATTGATTTTTATTTTTGTTTTTACAGAAAATAAAAATGGCTCTTCCTCCGTATATGATTCCTCCCAATCAATGGGCCGCCCATATGATGGCCCAGCAGCAGGTATTTGCTGTGCAGCAAGCTCAGGCACAGCAACAGCATCAAGCGGCAGCTGCCCAGATGCATGCTCAGCAGCTGGCTGCCACGCAGATGCAGATCCCGCCACCGATGGGACACATTCCACCGCCCGGTCCGCCAAAGCCGGATTTGGTTCTTTCGGAGGAGAAACTGATGGAGAAGGCTCAAAAATGGCAACAGCTGCAGACGAAGCGGTTTGCCGACAAGCGTAAATTTGGATTTATTGATGCACAAAAGGAGGACATGCCACCGGAGCACATCCGGAAAATTATACGAGATCATGGCGATATGACGAGCAGGAAGTACAGGCACGACAAGCGAGTTTATCTGGGAGCTTTGAAGTACATGCCGCATGCGGTTATGAAGCTGTTGGAGAATATGCCCATGCCATGGGAACAGATTCGAGACGTTCCGGTACTGTATCACATTACGGGGGCGATCACTTTTGTGAACGAAATCCCGTGGGTTATCGAACCGGTGTATATCGCCCAGTGGGGCACCATGTGGATTATGATGCGTCGTGAGAAGCGTGATCGTCGTCATTTTAAGCGTATGCGATTTCCGCCATTCGATGATGAGGAACCTCCACTGGATTATGCGGATAACGTACTGGACGTGGAACCGCTGGAAGCGATTCAGATCGAACTGGACGCGGATGAAGATGGTAGCGTTCACGATTGGTTCTACGAACATCGTCCGCTGGTTGGATCGCCTTACGTAAATGGATCGACCTACAGAAAGTGGAATCTTTCGTTGCCGCAAATGGCAACACTGTATCGATTGGCCAATCAACTGCTTACGGATTTGGTGGACAGCAATTTCTTCTATCTGTTCGACCCGAAGAGCTTCTTCACGGCCAAGGCGTTGAATATGGCCATTCCGGGTGGGCCCAAATTTGAGCCGCTTATCAAGGATCACAATGTCGGGTAATGAGAAATTTGAATTGATACGTATTTTGGAGAATGGTAATTTCATGGTACTGCTTTGGCTTTTGTTTCTTTGTAGGGATGACGACTGGAATGAGTTTAACGATATCAACAAAATCATCATCCGACAACCGATCCGAACAGAGTATAGGATTGCTTTCCCGTATCTATACAACAATATGCCGCACTTTGTGCATCTGTGCTGGTAAGTTTCTAGTTATCAAGTTGATTGTATTTCAAATTGATTATAAGACCATCGCTTGAGAGGAATCGATCGTTGCAGTATCAAGATCATTCTATATTCCCGGTGGTAGAACAAACCAAAGTCGAATAAGGACCAACTTACTACTTAGCAAATCGCATTTATGCCAACCTGCATAATATCACACTTTTAAATTCTAGTTATTTTAATTACTTTCTTCAAATATGTTCATCGACTGTGATCTGCATGTTGATTACTTACCGAAGATCAATGGAAGTAATCGTTGAGGGTCACGTACATTCAATAATCGCTCATAACTCTAGTTTCCAAGAAACCGTCACTATCTATGTGTAATAGATTCTGCCTCACTTCTCTTCCCCCAGGTACCACACTCCGAACGTGGTTTTCATCAAAACCGAGGATCCCGATCTACCAGCATTCTACTTTGATCCGCTGATCAATCCGATCGCCCATCGGCATGCCGTCAAATCAACAGAGCCACTTCCGGATGATGACGAAGAATTTACGCTCCCGGAAGAAGTCCAACCATTCCTTCAGGATACGCCTCTGTACACGGACAACACTGCAAATGGAATATCGCTTCTGTGGGCGCCTCGTCCGTTCAACCTTCGCTCGGGTCGTTGCCGTCGAGCGATGGATATTCCACTGGTCAAAAACTGGTACAAAGAGCACTGTCCGCCAAATCACCCGGTCAAGGTCCGAGTCAGTTATCAGAAGTTGCTCAAGTACTACGTACTCAACGCATTGAAACACCGCAAGCCGAAGCCTCAGAAGAAGCGCTACCTGTTCCGTTCGTTCAAGGCGACCAAATTCTTCCAAACCACTACGCTGGATTGGGTCGAAGCTGGACTACAGGTCTGCCGTCAGGGCTACAACATGTTGAATCTGTTGATTCACCGTAAGAACTTGAACTATCTCCATTTGGATTACAACTTCAATTTGAAACCGGTAAAGACCCTTACCACAAAGGAACGTAAGAAGTCTCGCTTCGGCAATGCGTTCCATCTGTGTCGTGAAATCTTACGTCTGACCAAATTGATCATCGATTCCCACGTCCAGTACCGGTTGAACAACGTGGATGCATTCCAACTGGCGGATGGTCTACAGTACATTTTCGCTCACGTTGGCCAACTGACCGGAATGTACCGCTACAAGTACAAACTGATGCGGCAGATTCGTATGTGCAAGGACTTGAAGCACTTGATCTACTATCGGTTCAATACGGTAGGTTCCAATCAATTATCAAACCGAAATCTTCAACGATTTATTGACCTTCATAACATCTTTCTAGGGCCCCGTGGGTAAAGGCCCTGGTTGTGGTTTCTGGGCTCCGGGATGGCGCGTTTGGTTGTTCTTCATGCGGGGTATCACTCCGTTATTGGAGCGATGGCTTGGCAATCTGCTCTCCCGTCAGTTCGAAGGTCGACACTCGAAGGGCATTGCCAAGACGGTCACGAAGCAGCGCGTCGAGTCGCACTTTGATCTGGAGCTGCGTGCTTCGGTTATGCACGACATTGTAGACATGATGCCGGAGGGAATCAAACAGAACAAGGCTAGAACCATTCTGCAGCATTTGTCCGAAGCTTGGCGATGCTGGAAGGCTAACATCCCCTGGAAGGTACCCGGGTTGCCAATTCCTATCGAAAACATGATTCTGCGTTACGTCAAGATGAAGGCTGATTGGTGGACCAATACCGCTCACTACAATCGGGAGCGTATTCGCCGTGGTGCCACCGTCGACAAGACCGTCTGTAAGAAGAACCTCGGTCGACTGACGCGACTCTACCTGAAAGCGGAACAGGAACGACAGCACAACTATCTGAAGGATGGTCCCTACATTTCCCCTGAAGAAGCCGTCGCCATCTACACAACGACGGTGCATTGGTTGGAATCGCGTCGCTTTGCACCGATTCCGTTCCCCCCATTGTCGTACAAACACGACACCAAGTTGCTGATTTTGGCTTTGGAAAGATTGAAGGAAGCGTACAGTGTCAAGTCGCGTCTCAATCAGAGCCAGCGCGAGGAACTGGGGTTGATCGAACAAGCCTACGATAATCCCCACGAGGCGTTGTCTAGAATCAAGCGTCATCTGCTGACGCAGCGAGCATTTAAAGAGGTTCCGTTAGCCATTATCTAATATGCTATGGAACCGTTCAATAATTAAAGCCTATTTTCAGACCGGAATCGAGTTTATGGACCTGTACAGCCATTTGATTCCCGTGTACGACGTCGAACCGTTGGAGAAGATCACCGACGCCTATCTGGATCAGTACCTGTGGTACGAAGCGGATAAACGCCGCCTGTTCCCGCCGTGGATCAAGCCGAGCGATACGGAACCACCCCCGCTGTTGGTGTACAAGTGGTGCCAAGGTGAGGTTCAGAATTTATTTACGTTTTCAGGACGTGAGCAGTCAGAATATTGCGGGTGTGTGCTTTGTGACAATGAGATTGGCATCCGATATCATCCCCTTGTTGCAAACCTCACGCTTGCGGTAGCTCATCTATCAGCTGTTACCATGTATGTGAAACAAACGCGTTTTTTTTTGGAAATAATATTGAAAAGAAGCCTTATTCATATTAACTCTGAAAGAACGATCGGTCAGGAAATTTTTGATGAAGTGGACAAGGCCAGGCCCCAGTTGACAAGCTGCTCTAAGACGAGGGGCGTCCACGTTGAAGGCCTTCGATATATCCAGCGAGACGGTCTCGGTATGGAGACCGCTATCGTTGGCATTCTTGAGGACCTCCCCTAATGTTGCGAAATAAGTTGACGTTCCGTACCCTTGACGGAAGGCGTGCTTTCGATGGTCTAGCAGGTTTTCGGCTTCAAGGAAATGCTTTAGACTCCTGTTGACCATTCGCTCCAGGATAGCATGTTAATGCTATTGGCCGGAACTTGCTAACTTCACGGGTTGTTTCATTGGTTTTTGGGGTGGGAATGACTAAGCTCTCCTTCCACGACACTGGATACGAGTTGGTGAGCCAGAGCTTTTTGAAAAGCTTCAGCAACCGTAACTGGCCTGGCGTTGGTAACCTCTTGAGTAGAGGGTACCCGATTTCGTCGGGACCCGCCTGCCAGGAGAATGCCTGGTTGATGTCCGAGTTCCCAGCATCAGAAGAAACAGTGAAACTTGCGATGGATGACGTTCCGCTTGAATTCGTCTTCGTACTTCTCGATCGGCAAAGTACGAGCCGAGTTCGTCCGCTACAATTGCAGGGTCAGAAACCGCTTCACCGTTAATCTGTACGTGGAGCGGTGTCATGCGCCGTTTCTCATTGAGGGCGTTGAATTGCCTCCATAAGTCGGCCGAAGACTGTGACGAATTCATTCCTTTCAGAAAGTCCATCCAGCTGGTTCGTTTGGCGATACGGATTTTTTACCAGTATTGATTGTGCGACTCACGGTAGAGTTTATGTTTGAATTGAGCGGAAAAATAGACAAATTTTGGTTTTTACCACTCAGAATTCCATGAAACTTTGCATAATTGTTCGCTGAAGGCAATGAATCAAGTTTTTGCTGGAACTCGGCCATTTTGACTAACGCCACATTTTTCAAAATGGCGTATGCGATATTTTTTCAATAAATGAGCATGAGCATGATTGACCGCCCACGGTTGCTACCCTGTTATTGCCAGACCAGCTGTAATTACACAGAAAACCAATAGACGATGCTTGGGACTAGCAATCATCCTCAATGTGTAAAAACTGGTGATCTCGAAATAGGCAATACCAGCGCCAGCCGCGCCTGAACGCAGGTCAAGAAAGGAATGGGTATGAATGTGTTGACGTGACACTCGCTTTGATGGAAGCCGAGGAGTCCTCTGCACTTCCACGAGGAATCACAGGAATGTTGGGTAAGATGGTTGGGTTAGCAGCAGGGTTCGTTTTGGTAAACGATAAGCTGAATTGATGTCCTAACGATCGTATAACGCGAAGGAGCTTGGGATTGAACCCACGGTCTTCTGCTCAGTAAGCAAAAACGTTTGCCACTAGGCAGACGAGCTCCTTTTTAATCATTGACGAATCTTGAATGTGGATGGGCTTGAGATAAGACTCATGATGTTCTGCTCAGTAAGCAAAAACGGTTGCTCTAAGGCCACCGAGCCTCTCATATCACATTATAGCGTTGCTCAAGTTTTTATAACTATTCAAACCCGGCACCGACGACAACGAAAAGTTTTACAAAATACTCGATAAACAAGTTATATTTTAATATTTTTAATATGAAAGGATCTGGGACCGCGTCTTTCTCCTCAGTAAGCAAGCCACTGCAACCGACGATCTTTGAAATCCCAAAACTAAAAGCTACGAAAGAGTACTTAGGCCTTCATTAAGATCCACTTTCACGCGACGTTCAATGTTTCGATTTTCTCTTTACGCATGGTTCAGACAATCATAACAAGCTATGACCGACGTGACGATTGTTTAAGACCTGGTTAAACAAGCTATTCAAATGAAATTACGTTCTCGAATTCCACTTGGAATGTAATGAACAACAGAAATACGCGATAATTCATATTTTCAGCGGTTGATGTTTAATTTTAAATATACTAACGGTACTGCCTACGACTACGACGGCGCCTACGACAACGACAACAGAGAATTTGCAACTTACCATTTGTCTAAGATAAACACCTTTACCCGGTACCTCCACTGGTTCTTCATGTCGGCTATCTTTCACTGTTTGCAAAATATCTAATAGCAATTACCTTTGTTGTGATACTTCCTGTATTGCCATGGTGATCTGGGAGGAAGTTCGCATCAAGTGCTTTCCCCAGGAACCGTTCACGGCCACCAGCTACCGCCCGTCCAGTCTTGGGCGTATCCAGCGAGACATCCTTCAGCTTACTCACAATCTCCGTCAGTAGATGCAAATCGCAGGCACACTTACGCTAGTTACAAAAAAAAAACACTCCCGTGCAAAGAAACGGATCCAATAAACGTTACTCTTGCGAAAGCACACCTGTCGTCGTCGAACGGCAAAAAAAGGAATCGGTGGGCAATTTTGTGATACGGATTTCCAAAATCAAACGAGAATGCACGAATTTCACCACACCCAACTGCGAAACACGTTCAGAAGCACTTATGGTACACTTTCGTTCGAAAACACTTAATTTTTTCAAAAATATTTGCGAGTCGCAGGGCGTCTGCTACCTGGAAAAACCTGGAAAACCGGAAATTTACAGGGAATTTTATTTTTTTCTGGAAAACCTGGAATATTCAGGGAATTTTGGTTCCACTCAGGGAATTTTCCAATTATCACTTCATTCGTAATTCAAAAGAAGTTTTTCGTTCAGTTTCTCGAAACATTTCTTAAGGACACTGAACTTGACAAGCATCTGACAGCTAAGAAAACGTGTGCGAACGAGACAAGTTCATTAAGAGAGTCTTGTCACGCTCACTCTTCGCTGATTTGTATGTGGAGGATCAAAATCGTCGTAAAAAGGAAACAGCCGAAAAAGAGAGACTGGCAACCGTCAAAAGGAAGTATACGAAGCATGTATTGTATAAGAATAAGCATGCCAGACAGCAGGTCTGAGAGTCTACATTGATTTTTTTTTTGGGCTTCAGAGAGGGTCGGAGATCTATTGAGAAATTTGTTGAGCTTCAGTATAGTTCGTAGATCTTGAGAACAGAACTACAAAAAAATTAAAAGTAATTAACAGAAATTCATAAAAACAAAATCACAAGAGAGGTCGTAGATCTTCAGATAAATGTTCAAAGAAATGTTCAAAACTTCAAGCAAGCAAAAATAATTTCAAATCAATTTGTTAAACTATAAGCGAAATTTTGCAAATCTTCAGGGAAATTCGCATAACTTCAGACAAGTTCAAGAATCTACAGTGAAATATAAAGTATTTCACAGAAGTTTGGAGATCCTCGAAACATTATTCAACATCAGAAAAGCTCGTAGATCTTCAGAACAAAGCTACAGAACTTAGAAAAAATTACAGGACATCTGAAAAAATCACAAGAATCTCAGAAATGTTAATGGATCTTCAGTAAAAATTGCAGAACTTCAGGGAAGTTCGGCGATTTAAAAAAAAATATGTACACAATTTCAGGAAAATTTGTAGATCTTGAGAGAGACATTTAAAACTTCAAAGAAGCTCAAATATTTTCAGATAAATTTTGACAACTTTAGGAAATTTTTAAATCTTCATGGTAACCCGAGAGGAATTTACAAAACATCAGAGAAGTTTGCAGATCTACTGAGAAATTTATTGAGCCTCAATCTGTAGATCTTGGGAATAGAGCTACGGAACTTAAGACTACTTTACAGAACTTTAAAGATATTTGCAGGAATTTGACAGAAAGTTTCACAGTTCCTCACAAATGTGTGATCATCAGAAAAATTCGTTACATGTCACTAAAGCACCTCAATTCCAAAAACAAATCGCAGCGAAGTACAAAAGTACAATATTTTGCAGAACTCCATGAAAGTCGGAAATAGATAGATCTAAAGAACTTCAGAGAAGTCCGTAGACCTTAAGAGAAGTCTGTAAAACGTCAGAAAGTTCGTACGTCTTTAGAAAAATTTGCAAAACTTCAGCAAAACTTACAGATTTTCGGGAAAGTTCGCCTATCTTTAGATCAAGAATCCACAAAGAAATTTAAAGAACTTTAGAAAAGTTCGAAGATCTACTGTGAAATTTATTGAACTTCAAGGCAGTTCGTAGATCTTTAGAGTAGAAATACAGTACTTCAGAAAACTTTACAGAATTTGAAATAAATTTTAGAACCTTCAGAAAAATTCAGAGGGTAGATCGTAAATCTACTCAAAAATTAGCAGATGTTTAAATAAATTTTCAGAATTTTACTGCAGTTCTTGGATTTTGAAAGACATTTACAGAACTTAAGGTAAGTTCGCTGATCTTTAGGGATATTTGCACTGCTTCAGAAAAATTTGAAAAACGTCAGAATACTTCCTAAAACTTCCGGAAAGCTCAAAAATTTCTAGATAATCTTTTAATTCTTTAGAAAATTGTATAGATGTTCAGAGATATTTGCAGATATTAATTGAACCATGAAAATCTGCAGAGAAAATTACAGAACTTTCGAGGGGTTTGTAGATTATTAGAAATTTTGTGAACATCAGAGATAATTGTTGATCTTCAAGGATCTTAAATCTTCAGGGATTCAGGAACCTTGTAGATTTTTAGGAAAATTTTCAGAACTTCTGAAGAACACACAGAACTTCAAAGAAATCTGTAGAACTACCGAGAAATTTGCAGATTGTCAGGAAAGATTGTTGATCTTTAAAGAAATTTTACCGGAGAACAGAAACAAAACTTCAGGGACGTCAGAAGGTTTGAAGACCTTGCAGAATTGAGTTGTTAACAGAAATTTTCAGAACTAAAGGAATCATG